AGGCAAAGATGAGGAAGCTTTGTCTCACATACTTTGGGCACAGTTGTTAGGAGAGGCTGTGCCTTGGAGAGGGACATCATGCTTGGAGGGATGGCGAAAGAGAATTCTTGACTCTTAACTAGACAGACTGACACACTGACTGATTGCTGTAATGGGCTCAGTTATGTCAGAAATTATGAGGATGGCACAGGATAGGCCAGGGTTTAGATCTGGTGTTCATAACGTCACTATGAATCCTAATCGACTCGATGGCACCTATCAACAATAATATAACCTCAATTTAAAGATGAATAGATGTTGATAGTGGTCAGCAGAAATACTTTTCCATTCCTTCTTGTTTGACTGCCCCAGCCAGGCTCCTTCTCTCTGTTGTGATGTTTTAAGATGGTATTTCAAGCTTTGCCTGATAACCTTTGGATTTGCACCCAAGGACAAGCCTCCCGTTTTGCCTCCAGGCTGCCCCTGTGTATCTCCCATGCTAACAGAAACTGTTCAGTGGCGCTCCCTCCCCCAAGGGCATGCGTCATACCTGCTGTACTTTAGACATGCTGGTGACATATCTTGGTGATTCAGGCACCTTTATTTCCAACTTAATATCCAAAATCATAACTCAGAGTTCTGGGCAGAGGAAAGAACATAGATTCCAGTTAAAAGGTCCTGAATTCAAATGCCAGTCCCAGGCTATAAACTGAATGTGTCTCCCCTAATATATAAACAGATTGAGTAGGTATGGGGAAAGAGTACGACCCTGACATACACTTTTACTGACTTTAAACTGATATGAATTACATCTCAACATCAAGAAAATGAAAATCCTCACCACTGGGCTAAAAGACAACATCATGATAGAGGGACAAAAGACTGAAGTTATCAATTATTTCCTCTTCCTTGGTCCACAATCAACATCCTTGGTACCAGCAATCAAGAACTCAAAAGATGTATCACATTGGAAAAATCTTCAGTCAGGGATCTCTCCAAAGTGTTGCAGAGCAATGACGCCAGTTAAAGACTAAGGTACGCCTGATCCAGGCCATGGTCTTTTCAATAACTTGCTGCATATTTGAAAGTTGGACAATAACGAAGAATGACAGAAGGAGAATTGATGTCTTTGAGTTGTGGCACTGGTGAAGGGTACTGAATATCCCATGGACTGCTGATAGAACAAACAGGTCTATGTTGGAGAAAGGGCAGCGCCAGGGTGCTCCTTCGAGGCAAGGATAAGAAGCGTCATCTCACATTCTTTGGGCATGTTGTTAGCAGGGGTCAGTCCTCGGAGAAAGGCTTCATGCTTGGAAAGATCAGCGTAAGAGAGGATGAAACTTAACAAGCAGAACTGACGTGGTGACAGCAACCATGAGTTCAAGTATATCAGAGATGATGAGGATGGCACAGGATGGGGTCAGGTTCAGATCATTCAGAGGATTCTACGAGTTGCAGTCGACTCAACAGCACATAACAACAAAATCGTGGTTGTTGTTGTTATGTGCCATCGGGTCGCTTGCGACTCATAGCGACCCCATGTACAAGAGCCCGGAACGCCGCTCTATCCTGTGCCAACCTCGCCGTCTCAAACACACTCATTCCCACCACTCCACTCATGGAATTGATCCATCTCATACAGGATCTTCCTCTCCTGTGCCGTCCCTCCACTCTCCCAAACATGATGTCCCTTTCCAAGGACCAGTCCCTCCTTGCAACATGCCCAAAATATGTCAGACAAAGCTTCAGGATCCTTGACTCCAGGGAACATTCTGGCTTCACCCTCTCCAGGACAAACCTGTTTGTTCTCCTAGCAGTCCATGGTATATTCAACACTCGTCTCCAGCACCACAGCTCAAAGGCATCAATTCTCTTTCTATCATCCCTAGTCACTGTCCAACTCTCTGATGCATAGCATGTAATTGCAAAGACCATAGCCTGGATCAGGAGCACCTTAGTCTCTAGCCTGATGTCATTGCTCTTCAGTACCCTTGAGAGGTCCCTCACAGCTGACTTTCCCAGTGCAATTTGTCTCCTGATTTCCTGGCTGCTGTTACCAAGAGTGTTGCCTTTGGAACCAAGTAACCTAAAACTGTTAACTAAAATAACAACCCAAATTTTATGTTAGAGTTCTAATTCCTGTACCTATAGATATGATTCCTTTTGGGAATTTAAATTTCTTTATTATATTAATGAGGAAATATCAGTGTATATTTTATTTTCAACCTACTCAGATTTGGGTTTTTTTAAAATTGTGATTTGATTAAAAGCTTATGGAGTAAATTGGCTTCCTTCACCTACGTTCACATTGTTCCTTGTTCACAACTATTCACATTGTTTTATGACATTAATTAAGACCAATTCACTTTTTAAAAATTTTTATTTTATTATTTTTTTTGTGTGTGTGTGTGTACCGTCAAATCGGATCAGACTGGTACAGGAGGAAATTGTCCCTCCTTACCTGGCAGATCATCTGGTGGACTCGAACCGTGCACCTCTGGGATTGCAGTGCAGCTTCTTGCCACTAGGCCACCAGAGCTCCCCAGACCAATTCACTTTTGAGCACTTCCAGAGCTGTTGTCTAAACAGAGCAAAGGAATACTGTAAGGTTTAAAATCAAGGAAGGTGTGCGTCAGGGCTCTATCCTGTCTCCATACCTATTCAGTCTGTATGCTGGGCAAATTATTCAAGAGCCTGTATTTTATGAAGAAAATGTGGCATCAAGATCCAAGGAAGACTCATCAACAGCCTGGTTATAGAGATGACACACCCTTACTCGCTGAAAAACGGGAGGGACTTGAAGTGCTTTCTGCAGAAGATCAAAGACTATAGCCTTCAGATCAATCACTGTAACAAGTACATCAAAGCTGGAGAGGAGGGCACAGGATAGGGCGGGGTTCAGAGTCACAGGGCTGCTATGAGTCGCAGGGGACTCAACGGCACACAACAACAACGACAGTTTCCAGTTGTGAAATGAGATTAGGAATAGAGAAGTAAGCACAAAAGAAGGTAACGTTATAAGACAGAGAAAGATGGCTAAGGAATCAAGTAATACTAAGTCTACAGAAACTGAAAAAGCTCTTTTCCCAGAGCCAAGAGGTTAGGGGATGAGGGGGGAGAGAAGAGAGAGAGAGAGGGAGGGAGAATATGAATGAGAATGAGAATGAATTGCCTCAGGTCTGGGTATCTTGAATTGTCTTCTTACTTCCTGATCGTGAAACTTCCTCTCACATGCTTTGGACATGTTGTTGTTGGGGGGGGGGGCAGTCCTTGGAAAAGGTCATTATCATGCTTTTGAAAGGTGGAGGGTCAGCAAAAGAGGGAAAGACCCTCAGCAAGATGGATTGGCTCAGTGACTGTAACAATGATCTCAAGAATAGCAGCAATGATGAAGATGACACAGGGGAGACGGCCCAGACCTGCTCAGATCTTCACAGAATCACCACTTCATAGTTGACTCGGAGGTATCTAACAAAAACAAACAACAACAACTTCCTGAACCATAAAAATTAATTTATCTTTGTAAAAGGCACTTATTTGTGATATTTCTGTTACAGCAGCACGAGGGAACAAAGTGGGGAAAATACAAGACGGGATTATGAATGAATGATTGAGTGCAGGGTGAGGAGACTGACCCACACACTTGTACTCTTTCAAAGTGGTCAGCCTTGTCCTGGGGGAGACCGGGTCCCCAAGGAGCTTCCAGCCCAGACCGAGGGACTGAGCCTGACAATGATGCACCTGTTTTCCTTCCTGCTCAGAGAAAAAAAAATCACAGGGCCCTGGACATAGGGAATGGAGCCAGGGAGGCTAGGAAAACGATGCAGCCCAGAGAGAGAAAGGAAGTGGATTGTGGAACGTTGGGCGGGCCCACGTGGCCAGAGGTCATTAAATACTTAGCCAGGAAGTTGGACTGAAAAGCTCTGATAAGCAGAATAGCTGGAGACTCATCCTGCTTCCTAGACATTTCCTATCTCTGCCCTGATTTACTTTGGTTCCCTCTGGAGACAGGGAGCTCATTCCCAAGAGAGACAGCTCAGCCCTTCCGGGACATGCATAACTTCCTGTCCAAAAGTTTGATGAAGTGTGATTCTTCAAATACTGCCCATGGATGAAAGGGTTGAGGGAGTAGAGTAGAGAGGGGCTCATGTGGACCAGACAATTAGGCCCTTCCTTTGGCAGGATCTAGGGTCGGACAGACTTGAGTTCAATTCATTGCTCTCCCACTTACCAGACTGGTGACTTTATCTCTCTGAGCTTTGGTTTCCTCTTCCCTAAAATGGGCAGAGTAACAGAACTTACCTCATAGTTTGTGTACAATTTTCAGGCAGCAAATAGTATAAAATGCCTAGTTCACAGTAGGTACAGTGAACAAATGTAGTGTCCTGTGACAGATCTAGAATTTTCTGACTATGCCCCAACCACACTTGTACTTTCCTACCTTTAACATTGCAGTACTGTCTCTACCAGATAAACCTAGGGACTGGGACATGGCTGTTAACTTCTATCATGCCCTTTCCCCTTTGTTCATACCTCACAAACTCCTATGCATCCCTCATTGTCCTACCTACAAACATAAGTATATATATAAAATTTTTTTAAATATTTTTTTAAAATTTTTTTTCTGGTCACGTCCTCATGCTGGAAAACTGGGCACGCTGGTTTGTACAGGTGTGAGTGACCCGGATGCAAGAATACTGTTTGGCACATAGAAGTTGTGCAGTCAATTCTTGTTGAATGAATGAATGAAAGGTCAGTTGGGGATTTGCAGAAGCGGAGACTCTCAGGAGTCAGCTGAGACCTTCAAGGTCCCTACCCCCAGCTAACCACGAGCTCCATGGGCCTAAGGTTATGAAAGCCATAAAGGGGGGGGGGGCTTCCAGGCGTGGCCTTTAGATTGTCCGGCCCCCTTAAGGGGTGGGGTAGTGCCCTGCGAGCCGCGCCCGGATTGGCCGTGGGTGACGTCAGCGCGGCGCTAGCGGGCGGGACGGGCAGCGCTCCGGGCGGCGGGCGGTGCGAAGATGGCGGCGGCGGCGGGCCTGGGGGCGGCTGAGGCGCCGTGCGCCCTGCTGCTCGTGGTGGGCGGCGAGTGCGGGCGCCCAGGGCTGCTGGCCTACGTCCTCGAGGAGCTGGAGCGAGGTCGGGCGCCGGGGCGAGCGGGGGGCCCCCGGGACGAGCGCGGCCGCGATGTGGGAGGGATGTCCCCGGGGCCGTTCAGGGGTCGCGGGGCGGGCGCGGTGATCGTGCGGCGCAGGGCCTTCCCCGCTCGAGTGCGGCGCGGGCCCAGGCGGGAGGCTGAGGCCCCGCGGAAGAAGCGGAGCTCAGGCCCGGGCGCCCCGCCCTTCCCCGGCGCGGCTAAGGGAGGGGACACGGGCGGGGACACGGTCCCGGACCGCGACCCGCGCGATTGGGCAATGTGGGCAACAGCCCCGCTTCCTGCCCGCAGGGCCCGCACCGGGGAAGGTGGAGAAGATGCAAACCCGCAGATTCTGGAGTCCTGGGTTCGGTGATGCCCTAAGAGCCTCCGCGTGGCTGTCGACAGCTCCGGAGCCGCCCCTCCTGGATCCCAGAATCCATTATAAGCCGAGTCCATGACCCCACTTTGAGGTCCTCAGGCTCTTGCCCTGCACCCAAATCTCCAGGCCAACCCTCCCAGCCAGAAATCGCCACCCTGAATGGCAGGACCCGTTAGGACCCCCGGGGACTGGAGCTGCCCCGCCCTCCTGATGCTGACAGCTGGGGCGGGGTTCTGCCCTTGGCTGGGGTGAGCGAGGCAGAGTGGGACATGTGGAGGGGACAGGTTGGGGAGCTGAGAAGGGGCTTAGGCATAAGCAGCGTTTTTGGCCTGGCGGAGAGGGAGCGGGGACATCCAAGAGAAAGAGGGGCCCGCCCCGGCCCCTAGGGCTCACTTTCCATTGCTCCACATGGTGCTAATTGGGGCGTGGGCAGGCCGCCTGCCCAGGGAGGTGAGTCATGGTGCACCTGTCAAGTTCACCTGCCTCTGCCTTGCACAGTGGGGCGGAGGGCATCCTTCACAACACACCCCACACACGAGCTCCAGAGGGGCTTCTTTCCCTGCCTTTTGGACACACCCCAAGTCTTTGTCTCTTGGCCTGTAAGATGGGGTGGCAGGACCCACCTCATCAGCCCTGTATGCTCCAGAGTTGAGCCAAAAGCCAGAGAGGAGTGGAGCCAAGTTTCAAGAAGGCTTGTAAGAAGCATGGAGAGGGACACAACAAGGATCAGGGCCGGTGGGGCAGGGTGGGGGCCTCGGGGGGAAGCAGTTGAAAGATGAGACCTGAAGGGCAGAGGGAGGGCAGTGGGAACAGCTGGTGCTAAACCCCAGAACAGGAAGAGCCTGCACAGAGGGGTGTGGGACAAGGAGGCTGTCTGGTCTGTAAATGGTTCAGGGGCTCCCTAGCTCCTGAAAACACAGGCTTAGTTCAGATTAACCCCCACCCCAGGCCTGTAGCATGGACAATTCAAAGGGGGCTGGGATGGCGTTCATCCGTTGGGTAACTGTGGCTCCATTTTTGGTTACTGTCCAGTTGGAAACTTAGAGCTGACCCTCCAGTGGGTTTTCAAAAGCTAAATTACATGGGAGAAGATTGCCCATCTTTCCTCTGTGGATTCAAACCACGAACTTTTGGGTTGACAGTGTGACCCCTTATCACTCAGCCACCAGAGCTCCATGCTTTTTGCATGTAGTTATTTCTAATTCATGGTGTCCTGTGTGTGGAAAGTTTTCAAAGCTATTTTCTTCACAAGCAGCTCACCAGGCCTTTTTTCCCAAGATGGCTCTGGGTAAGTTTGAACCGACAACCTTTTGGATAATTGTTGAGTGCTTAACCATTTGAGCTAGCAACTTCCTTCTGCAAGCAGGTAGGTGCTTAAGTACTAACTAAGAGGTTGGTGGTTTGAATTCACCTGAAAGCACCCTGGAAGAAAGGCCTGGTGATCTACTTCTGGTAGAGCACAGCCTTGAGAATTGTGTGGAACACATCTCGGCTCTGGTACACATCTTGTACACATCTGATCCATGTCAGCTCGATGGCAACAGCCTGAGTGCTGCTTGCTGAACTTTCTCTCCTGCCACCTGCCAGGTGTCCGGTCCTGGGACGTAGACCCCGACATCTGCAACCTCGATGAGCAGCTCAAGGTGTTTGTGTCTCGGCACTCGGCCACCTTCTCCAGCATCGTCAAAGGTGAGACCTGGGCCTCCGCACCCCCACCTCTGACAGCCCACCTGTTCTCAGCAACCCGGAAGCAAGAGCTAGTGTTCTCATCCCCATTTTACAGATGAGGAAACTGAGGCATGGGGACAGGGCTGGGAACCCTTCAAGGAGGGTGTTGTTGTTTTTTTGTTTGGGGTTTGTTTTTTTGGGTTTTTTTTAGGGTGAGAAGCAGCTAAATGGGGTAAATATATGGCTTGGATATAGAGAGTGTTCAGTAGGTGGGACACCAAGAAGCAGTGAGATGGAGACAGGAAGAGGGTGCAGCCTTGGGATCTGGGGGTGATTCAGGGTGAGCACACCAGACGTCATCCCCCAGCCCCCATCCCTGAGGCCAGTAGTTGAGTCACCCCCCCAGCCGCCACAGGAGGGGAAGGAAGTGCCTGCCTTCTCATTGTCCCAGCAGGTCCTGGTGGCTTCCTGGCCACTAGTGTGTGGTGAGGAGCCTGGAAATCCTATTTGCTCCATGTGACCTCAGCGGCCACATGTGATGCTCCCTGCCTCAGTTTCTCACCTGTGAGTGAGTGATATCTGTGCCTAGTTAGGGATTCAGGGCTCAAAGGCCAGCTTCAGGGAGCAGTGGCCTCCAGAGCCTCAGGGCCTGCTGCACGATGGCTGGACCTGGCCTCTCAGGACTAGGCCAGAATCATTCCATCATGACCTACCTCGCCATCGGCCTCCCTACCTTCAGCTCTCCTCACACTGTGTCCCCTGGAGCTGTGCCCCACCTGGCGTGCCTTTCCTGGCCTGCTAGCATAACATATAAGGAGGTGTGTGACTGATCTGAAAGAGAGGGTGATGGTGGCAACCCCCGCCCCCAAGGGTGTTGAGAGCTTGGAGAAAAAGCAGCTGAGATGACCCTGCAGTGGGGGCTTGTGGTCACTGTGGTCTCAGTGTGCAGCGAATGGTAGCGTGGGGGCATCTGTAACCTTTCTCATCCTGACCCAGGCTGGGGGGCTCAAGTGGGGAGGTGGGCTGCACCCTGAACTCATGGTCCTGCGTTTATAGGCCAGCGGAGCCTGCACCACCGTGGGGATGCCCTGGACACTCTGGTCCTCCTCAACCCGTCGGACAAATCACTATGTGATGAGGTATGGGCCACTAGTGTCAGGGCGGGGCCTGTGCTGCTGAGAACTTTGCCTGAAATGCTCATGACCCCCAGTGACAGCACACCCTCCCCAGGAAGCCACCCCTTCTCCCTTCTTCTGGGGTGACAGTGGGGTGGGGTGGTGGCCTAAAAGCTAGAGCCAGCCTCATGCTCAAATCCTGCAGGTGTGGCAATCTGAAGGGGTATGGACCCCACTGACATCCTGAAAGTGCCTTCTGTGGCCCCCCCACCAGTACCTGAGCTGACTCACTAATGCTCCTGGTTAAGTCTCCTTGCTTCTCTCCATTATTTGCCAGAGAGGAGCACTCCATCAGAGACTGTCTTACAAGTTGACCCCTTCGGTCAATATGCCTCTGCCTTCTTTCCCTGGGGAGCGGGGAAATGAATCACACACAGACCCACCCCACCCGCAGTTCCATAATGTCAGGGCCAGGACTGATGGAGAGATGGGCTGAGGGATCATAGGAGAGGCATCAGCGCGGGGTTTTGTAGGATGAGTAGGAGTTTGCCAGCGGCACAGGTCCCACTAGGTGACTGTCATCCCAGCCCCTAGGCAGGCACGCACTTGGTAATGTACTGGAACAAAGGAAGGGTCTTACTTGTAGATTTGGGTCTAGGGGTCTTCCCACTGCAGGGAGAAGGGCCCTTAACACCGTTTTCCTTCACCAGCTCCGGAACTTTCTGCTGGATCCTGCCCCTCACAAGCTGGTGGTGTTGGCTGGGCCCTGCCTAGAGGAGACGGGAGAGCTGCTGCTCCAGACAGGAGGCTTCTCGTCCCGCCACTTCCTCCAAATCCTGGCGGACAAGGAGGTGAGGTGCCCCTTGCTAACCTTTCTCCTGTTCCAGGGGTGCCCCTGGTTGTCAGATTTCAGTCCCCTTGTGCACTAAAGTGTGCTGCAGGAGGCTTGGCTAACTTTTCACAAACTTTAGTGGTGTTCCATGGAACTGGACAGGTTCTGATTCGGGAAGATGGGCAGAAGTAAATGGTGGTAGCCCATGTCTCCATGTTGTAAATCTTCGTCGGTGCAGTGAAGGACATTAGGGGTTAACGTGGTAGAGAGAGCTGGGGACCAGAAAGGGTTTCTTGAACAGTGGCCCTGTGGCAGGGAGGCATCTGAAGAGCAGTGGGAAGAAAGACAGCCAGGGTGGTAGACCAGGAATGGGGAGTAGGTGAGGGACCATCTCATGACCCCCCTCACTCCACATATCCCTGTAGATTGGGGAGCTGCTGGCCTCAGCGTCACCTCCACCCACCCCACCCACGCTCACCATCACCTGCCCAACCTTTGGCAACTGGACCCAGCTGACTACGAACCTGCCAAGCCTGCCAGGGGTGCTCCAACTGCGGCTGAACCCACCGGCAAAGCTGCCGGCCTCCGAGGGCCTGCGGGAGTTCCTTGAGTACGTGGCTGAGTCCCTGGAGCCGCCCTCGCCGTTTGAGCTCCTGGAGCCGCCGGCTGCCGTGGGCTTCCTCAAGATCGCCAGGCCCTGCTGCTACGTCTTCCCTGGTGGCCTTGGCGACGCTGCCTTCTTTGCTGTCAACGGCTTCACCATCCTGGTCAATGGGGGCTCAAGCCCCAAGTCAAGCTTCTGGAAGCTGGTGCGGCACCTGGACCGCGTGGATGCAGTGCTGGTGACCCACACCGGTGCCGACAGCCTGCCGGGCCTCAACAGCCTGCTGAGGCGGAAGCTGGCCGAGCGTGAGGCAGCCGAAGCCGGCGGTGGGGGCGACGAGGGTCTGCGCAACCTCATCTCCCCTGAGCTGGGCGTCGTGTTCCTGAACTCTGGCGTGGCTGCACAGCCGGTGGGCGAGGAGGCACATCTAGTGCGTGGTGTTGATGAGGCTGGGCTGGCGCTGGGGCTGCTGGCCCGCCTGGGCATCTCACCTCTGCCTCTGAGCCGAGGGTCGTTGCCCACACAGCCCACTGTGCTCTTCCAGAAGATGGGTGTGGGCCGGCTGGACATGTATGTGTTACACCCTGTCTCCGAGGCTGCTGGGCGCAGTGCTGATCGGGCACTAGCCTCGGCCTGTGTCTTGCTGGTGTGGCAGCCGGCCGGCCCGACTGAGAAGGTGGTGAGGGTGCTCTTCCCAGGCTGCACACCTCCCGCACGCCTGCTCGAGGGCCTGGCCCGCCTGCAGCACCTGGGCTTCCTCCGAGAGCCTGTGGTGACGCCGCAGGACCTGGAGGGGCCACGGCGTGCTGAGAGCAAGGAGAGCCTGGGGTCCCGAGACAGTGCTCGGGGCAAGGAGCGACCAGGGATAGCCCGCAAAGAGACCCCTCGGGCTGAGAAGGATGCCAGGCTGCCTCCCCGAGAGACCAAGAAGGACCCTAGACCCAGCACGTTGAGGACTCAGCCCCGGGATGCACGCCGAGGACCCTCCACCACCTCTGATGTCAAGAAGGTGGTGGCCCCAGTGTCAGCCAAGTCCCGGAGAGTGCCTGACACGTCCCGCTCAGCTGTGGAGAATGGACCTCGAAGTCCCCCCAGCTTCCGCTGTGGTGAGACCAGCCCCCCGCCGACATCATCCATGTCGCCAGCACCTCAGCTGGCAGCTACCCCCAGCCTAGAGCGCAGCCTGGAGCTAGGCCTGAGTCCTGCCACTGGCGACGAGGCCTGCAGCTCCGAGGAGCAAACACTGGAGCTGCTGTCCACGGCCAGCACGCCACAGCCACACTCGCCATCCCCTGCCGGCCCGCGCCGAGGGGGGCCCGCTGACAGTGGTGGGCGCCTATCTCTGAGCCCACTTAGGGCTGGAGAGGCAGCACCTGATGCCTCCCCCACCGTGACCACACCCTCGCTGCCTGCAGAGGTGGGGTCGCCACACTCCACTGAAGTAGATGAGTCCCTCTCTGTGTCCTTTGAGCAGGCTCTGCCACCACCCACTGCCACCGGTGAGCCAGGGCTCAGCCTCCCGCTGCGGGGGCCCCGGGCTCGGCGCTCGGCCTCACCACACGATGTGGACCTGTGTCTGGTGTCGCCCTGTGAGTTTGAGCACCGCAAAATCGTGCCCCCTGCTGCTGTGGCTTCCCCAGGTGGCTGTTCCAACGACAGCAGCGCCCGGTCCCAGGAGCGAGGCCCGGGTGGCCCCGGGCCTGAGGAGACACCACCCACATCCCTCAGCGAGTCGCTGCCCACCCTGTCCGACTCAGAGCCCCTTCCGGCCATGCCAGACCCTGCAGACTCGGACGATGAAGACACCGAGAGCCTGGGCGTGCCCCACCGCCGCCGGGACCCACTGGCCGCCCCGCTCAAGGACCCCCGCCCGATGCCCGCCCCACCTGGAGTCTGCATGGTGGACCCTGAGCAGGCACGCCGCGTGGAGGGCCTCAGCCGCACCCGGAAGCCTCTGACCCGCGCCAGTTCTGGTACCGGTGCCACTGGCCCCAAAGTTTCAACCACTGGCACTGCCAAAACCAGAGGACTGGCCAGTGGGGATCGTGCCAGCCGGCCGCTCAGCACCCGGAGTGAGCCTGCCGACAAGACAGCCCGGGCACCGCTGTCCAAAAAGGCTTCTGTCCCCAAGATGGCCACCCGGGTCCCAGCAGGTGAGTTCTGGGAGGGATCAGGAAGCCATATCCACCTGTCTCTGTCTGCTGTGTGACCTGAGCCATGCCCCACCCTATCTTAGACTCAGTTCCCCCCCCTCCACCCCCCAATGTAGCAGCACTGGCCTCCCCTTATCTCCAAGCTGTGCTGCCCAGTGGAAAGTTAACACAAGACATACCTGTCGTCATTAACGCCATTACGTTAAAAAACTAGAGAAGCTGATTGCAATAATGTACAGTCAGTTCTCCTTACTTGAGGTAGTTGCTCCTTCAAGCAGCTCTGCCACCACCTCCTGCAGCGTTTGGGCACTGGTTGTTTGTTGTTAAAATCATCACCATTCTTGGGTGAGAAGTTTGGTTCTGGCCAGTGCTTTGCGCGTGTGGCCACTACCCATCTTTTGGAGGCTTACATGTTGTGATGATGCTCAGTAGAGCTTCCAGCCTAAGGTAGACCAGGAAGAAAGGCCTGGCCATCTGCTGCTGAAAATCAGCCAGAGAGAACCCTGACTCTAACAGTAAGAGCTGCAGCTAATCATGGGTGGTCGGGGACGAGCAGAGTTGATTCCACTGTGCGTGGCTGCCGTGAGATGGGGCTGACCAGTGAGCAGCTGGGGACTTCTAGAAATCCCCGTGAATGCTGGATCCGTGAGTGTTGACAAGCCCTGTTGTGCCTCAGCCAGAAACATGCATGCCCATGAGTGACCAGGAACACATTGCACACCCCACCCTGCTGATTTTGGGGTCCCACCAACCAGGTGGATTGACACAGTGACTGCAGCAATGGGCTCGAGTGTGTCCTTGATTGTGAGGCTGGCATGGGGATAGGACAGTGTTCGGATCTCTTGTTCTGAGGGTCACTATGAGTCGAACTCTGCTTGTTGGCATTTAACAAGAAGTTTTAGCAAGTGTGCGATGAGGAGCCCTGAATAAGGAGGAGTGGATGTATTTTCTTTAACCCGTTGGTGCCTGGCTTCCTGGCATCACCACCAGCTCTCAGAATTTGCTGGGAGGACCGAACAGATTTCTTGCAGAGCACAGACCATTTCTTGCCGATGCATATGGGATAGAATCTGGTGAACTGGTGGCCAGCTTCAGCAGATGGTCTCACCGGGCTTCCTGTTGAGCCAGCTGACCCTGTCTATGACCCTGTGTTTGTCAGAGCATTTCTGTGCTCTGTAGGGTTTTGTTGGCTGTAATCTCTGTGGAAGCGGATTCCCAGGTCCTCTGTGGCACTGCTGGGTGGCCAGCAGTAAGCTGTATAACTCACTGAAGTGTTACTTGCTGTGGAACTAGTGACCCAGTGCCAGGGCTTGGCATTGGGGGTGATCACATAGGCCACACCCCCTGGCCCATCTTGGAGTCCAGTGACCCCAGAAGGAACTCAGGTGGTCAGCATAAACCACATTGTGTGCAAATAGTCTGGGCTTAGGAAGACACTCTTGATAGTTGGGATGGTGATGGTGGGGACCTTCCTGAGATGTGCGTCCCCAGACTTTGGACACAGGCCAGCTTCCTTTCCGAGGGCAGCAGCCTCAGGCCTGCTATGCAGATCCCTTCTGCTAACCAAATAGGAGATAGTCGCTCGCAGATTAACACGCTGCTCAGGCGACCCAGGGTGTGTCAGGGTAGAGCTGTGTTCCAGGTGGTTCTCGGGCTGATCTTGTCGAGTGTGAGTCACTGGCCTCTGGGGGGATGTGAAGACTTTCTTCTCTCACTGTTTCACAGGATGTCACAGTGCTTGTCCCAGCTGACCTTCAGGGACCTGGGGGCTGAGTTGCACCGAGGAGACACACATACCCACCCTGCCTTAGCCACTCAGTGTTGCTGCTGCCCCATTGGGCACCAGCAGGAGGGCTGGCAGCAGTGACCACATCTCCTGGCCTTCATCCCCATGGCCTGTCCTGGACTTCACCCGTGCCTCTGCCACTAGTGTTTGTCAGGAAGGTTCTGAAGAGGCTCCCATGTGTATCAGCGTGTCTCAGCCCAGTGTGGGGAGAGGGTGGCCACCTCGGCCATGGAGGGGCACCCACATCTGTGGTCATAGCAGCTCAGGCTTTTGCACCTCCACCACCTTGAATGGTTGCACCATCTAACCAGAGGCCAGTGAACTAACTGTTCTGGAAAGTGCCAGATTCAGTATTTAACTGCACTTAGAGCCCCAAAGCAGCCTTAGGCACTGTGTCAGCAAGTGGGCATGGTTGTGTGCCAATGAAACTATTTATACAAATAGGCAGGATCAGATTTGAGTGCAGGCCCTGGTTTCCTGACTCCAGGCCCTCACTGTCCTTCCTGTTCTGCGGCTCCTGCCCACCTCCCGCTCCTCAGTTGTTAGCCTTTGCAGCCAGCAGCCAGCCACGCTGTCCTCCCAAGGTGACGTCTGCCCCTTTCTCCTTGTACTGTCCCGGGTGGGGAATGGAGGTGGCTGAGGAGGGGTTATCTCCCTTGAGCTGGGAGTTACCTTGTACAAGGGTCAGCCCCCGCTCCTGTGCCCACAACAGAGCTGGGTGGCCTCCAGGGCCCCAGAGCCAGCTGTGTCTCCCAGTTGATGAGTGATTATTGATTTACTTGCCCAGAATGGTGGCAGTGATGGTCTGGAGACCACAGGGCTTTGAGTTGAGGGCCCGGCACAGCTTTCAGTGACCCTGGGGGACAGGGGAGCGTCTACCTCTCTCGATGCAGCCCGTCCAAGCTGCACTGTGGCTCTGTTTCTAAGACCTCTTGGCTCAGGAAGTCCATCCTTGTTGCCTCGTCATCTGTCCCAGAAGACGTCTGGAGATGGTTCATCACAGAACCCAGCTCCAGGCGCAGGCACAGAGGGACAGCTCAGTGTGTTTGCAGAGTGAATAGAAATTCTGCAAATAGGGTTTCTGGGAGGATAGTGCCATATTTAAGGGATAGGTCAGTTGGGAATTCATCCTGGCCTCATTGCCAATCTTAGGCCCGCCCCTTCATCCTGGTCCCCCCAGCACCAGCTTGCTGACCTCTGTCTCCCCTACAGGCACAGCTGGCAGCCGCCCTAGTGGCCCTGCTGTCCCACCGGGCAACCCCATCTACCTGGATCTGGCCTACCTGCCCAGCGGGGCCAGCGCCCGCCTGGTGGATGCCGAGTTCTTCCGTCGGGTGCGCTCCCTCTGCTATGTCATCAGCGGCCAGGACCAGGGCAAGGAGGAGGGCATGCGGGCCCTGCTGGATGCACTGCTGGCGGGCAAGCAGCAGTGGGACCGCGAGCTGCAGGTGAGGGGGCAGGGATGGGGTAGGCCCCTGGGTTCCTGGTGCCCCCCTCAGTCTCCTGGGGAGTACAAAACAGAAGGGGTTTTAGAGGATAAGGACCCGAATGTAGGTGTGGGCCAGCTCTGCAGAGGGTTTTCCTTGACTTGGTTTCTGGTTTCATCACCTCACCTCTCCTGTATGTCTCATGACCTATAGAGGGGTCCTCACAGCCGTGGAGCACATGTGTGTGTGTATGTGTGTCCATCTCTTCTCCCTTTGATGAGAGGTTAGGACCCACCACCTCCTCTACAGCCTTCTTTGACTTAACTGATGAAAAAGAAAAATCCTTTTTCCAAAGAAGGAAGTGCTCATAGGGCAGGGCTTTGAGCTTTGCCCCATCTTCTTGGGGACACAGCTCAAGCTATAGCAGTGCCCCTGGGAGTAGCAGTCAGGGTGCTCGATGTGGCTCCTGGAGCCCTGAGAGGCGAGAGCTGAGGTAATGCACCACCACCTCACTGGTTGAACCTGCGCAAGGATGGAGTGCTTGTCACCCACCCACAGAGACAGGAACAGCTCGGAGGTCAGGCAGAGTGTCTGAGGTCTTGGCCTGTGAGCAGACACAGGTTCCCAACCTGCCCTGGTGGGCCTGAGGAAAAGTTGGGCTGGAAAGGGTCTTTGTCCAAAGGACACCCTACCCAAAGGAGGGCCGGGGAAGTAGGGAGTAGATCCCAGGGTTGGGATCCATGAGGCCTGAGGTTGGGATTTACAGGTGAGGGAGGCAGAATCTCCAGGTGGGACCCTGGGAGCCTCCCTCACATGCAGCCTGAGTTCTGTCCCAGGAGGAGGGCTCTAAGCAGGGATATAAAGGTTCTGTATGGTGATTAGGCGTCATGGGGAACGGAGGGGCCTTTGGGCACAGGTAGGCCACTGTTGAGATGCCCAGGTAGGTGAGGAAAGGGGGTCCCTTAAGCTCTAAGGTCAGAGGAATGTTGGAGAGGTACACGTGGGGCCTCTAGGCAGGGGGCCAGCATTCCCCTCACTATCACTGTCTGTCCCCACAGGTGACCCTGATCCCCACCTTTGAGTCGGCAGCCATGCACGAGTGGTACCAGGAGACACATGCCAGGCAGCAGGCACTGGGGCTCACGGTGCTGGGCAGCAACAGCACAGTGGCCATGCAGGACGAGACATTCCCTGCCTGCAAGGTGGAGTTCTAGGCCCCCTGCCGCCGTCAGCCCTGCCCCCCGACTCTCACAGTCCTCAGCTGTGCCACTGCCCAGGAAATAAGAACTTGTGTGTCACTCATCACAAATAAACTGTGTGCTCCCTCCACTGTGCCCTCCTTTGTGATGTGAACCCCATGCCCATTTCACAGAAGGAAACTCTGAGTCTTAGGGGTGGGAATGGAGACATAGGAGATGGCTTTCAGACTTAGTAACTACTAGGCAGATCCTCCACAAAGCCCTGAGGCTGGCCTGTCTGTCCCCTCCTCACAGCCGCCTGTTACTAGTCACAAGACAACTGGTGGCTGAAGTGTGGCTTGACTTGTCTCTCCCAAAGCCGTCAGACGAGTTCTCTCCATACTCAGAGCCAGCGCTGCAGGCACAACCCAAGACTCCACAGGAAAATGTTATAAATGAGCTGGGATCCAAAGGTTGCGATATGCTGAACAACCTCACCTGAGCTCTGTGTGTGTAGTAGAGCAGTAGGGAGGGAGAACCCGTTCACAGTGGGCTCAGTGACAACCATGTCCTAACCCAGGACCTACAAGTGGGACTTCTTTCAGGAGCACCATCTTTGCAGGTCGTTAAGTTGAGGTTTCAGATATGAGAGCATCCTGGATAATATTCTTGTTCTAGGGTGCCATCAGGTCAGCTGTGACTCAGAGGGATCCCATAAACAGCATGTCCAAACCTTGCCCCCTATAGCCTGCACTGTCCTCACCATGTCTGAGCCTGAGCCTATAGTTGTCATCGGGTCAGCCCATCTTGTTGAGTTCCTCTTTTTCTCTGAGCCACTTTTCCCAGCATGCTGTCTTTTCCCGAGGGACTGATCCCTCCTGGCAATATGCCTGAAGGATGAGACGAAGCTTTGTCACCCTTCCTCGAAGGCACTGGCTGCACCTCCTCCAAGGCAGGCTTGCTTCTTTCGGCTGTTCAGTACTCTAACATCACAACTCAAAGGCACCAATTCTTCTGTTACACTTACTGATTTTCCAACTTTCGGATGCATAGGAAGTAATTTAAAATACCATGGCTTGAATCCAGTGAACAACTAACCCTTTAATTTCTAGACTGCCCTAGGTGGTGATTGTGGATCCAAGTGAAATGAAATATTTAATAATGTCAATCATTTCTCCATCTGTCGTGAAGTTGCCTGTTGGCCCAGTGGTGAGGATTTTTGTCATCTTAAAGTTGAGATGTAATCCATATTGAAGGCTGTAGTCTTTGATCTGCAGCAAGTGTTTCAAGTTTTACTTTCTGCAAGCAAGATTGTGTCATCTGCATAATACTGGTTGGTAATGAGGTTCCCCTGCCACATTCTTCTTCATTGAGTGTAACTTATCAAATGATTTGCTCAGCATTCAGATTGAATAGATGTAGAAAAAGGATACAGCCCTCCTGTACACCTTTCCTGGTTTTAAACCATACAGTTTCCTTGTTCTGCTCAGACAACTGCTTCCTGGTTGCCCCACCTCGTGATACACCCTAGAGCAAAAGAATGACCAGATATCTTGTTTTCTATTTCCTGTAGCGTGTATATGTGTTAGGATACTTGTATGCATGCATGCTTTATGGTTTGCTCTTATGGATACAGCCCCAGTCTGTCAGTTTGCTGTATTAGGGTGGTGACTTGCCTGTTGCTGCTTATTTTATACGTGCTTGTTTAGAGTTTGCGTTTATGGGGACTTGTTTTGTCAGTTTGCTATACTGAAGGGACTTGTGTGATGCTGGGAACTTTCCTAGTGGGATTTCAAACACCAGCAGGACTTTCGGACTAAGACCCCAACTCTTTTGACCCTCGTGTGTTTCAGACCAGACTGTGCCAGAGGCTTTTCTGGGCCCTGATCTTTCTTGAAACAGATTGCCAAGCCTTTCTTCTGTAATAATACTGTTGTTTTTTGATTCTGTGTCATCGGCCTGGGACCAACTCATTAGTTGACCCTCCAGCAGGTTTTCTGAGGCTGTAAATCGAACAGGAGAGATTGCTCGTCTTGCTCCCTCAGAGCAGCTGGTAAGTTCAAACCACCTGCCTTTGGTTTGACAGCACAACTCCTTATCATGACGCCACTGGGTGGGCCCAAACTCCCAGCCTGTAGATTAGCAGAGCAAAACCCGATTGCGTCACCTTATAGAAACCAAAACCAAATTGTTGCTGTTGAGTCCATTCCCACCCAGAGCAGCTCTAAGAGTAGAGCTCCAGAAGGTTCGCTAGGCTCTGCTCTTTCTTGGAGCAGACTGCCACGCTTTCCTGCGCCTGTTGTTGTTGGGTACTGCTGAGTAGACTCATAGGGTCCCTGTGAACAGCAGACGAAACCTTGCCCTATCCTGCGCCATTCTCAGGGTTCTCTCTGCTTTTGAGTCCAAGTGGACTCAGCTAACCCTCCCGTGGGTTTTCAGAGGCTGTAAATCTCACAGGAGCTCTGGTGGCCTAGTGACAGGAAGCTGCACTACAAACCCTGAAGGCATGTGGTTCAAATCCACCAGCTTCTCTGCTCCATGGCAGAAGGATGGGCAATCTTCTCCCGTGCCAAAAACTGCCTCTGGAAACCTGTGGGTTGGTTCTGACTCAAAGGTATACAGCAACAAACAACAAGCCACTGGTGGATTCAAACCATCAGGGAGGCAGTCACCCCCTCTGGATTAGCAGTACAGTTCCCTACACACTACCCACCACAGCTTCCTGAGCCTCTGGGAACCTCAAAACTTCAAAACCCACTGTCATCTCCATGGCTGTAAATCTTTATAAGAGGATACAGCCCATCTTTGTCAGAGCATTTTGTAGATTCGAACCTCTGACCTTTCCATTAGCAGCCCAAAAGAAAATGTACCAGACCACTAGGGCTCCTTCCAGGGCCTTTTAAAAACTCTCACTTGCCATCGAGTCAGTTCCAACCCGTAGCATCCCTCATCAGGTTGCTGAAGCCAGGAATCTTAACACGACAAGTCTCCATCTTTGCCTCTACAGCCGCTTATGGATTCAAACCGTTGGAGAGTTAGCATCACAGTTCACTGTGGACTGCACCCCAGAGCTCCCTCCTAGGGCCTTCACATTGGTGTTTGAGGCTGTAAATCATAGAGGAGGACAATGTCCTGTCTTTCTCCCAAGGAGAGGCTGCTGGATTTGAACTGTCAAAAACATGTGGCCTTGAAGATAGCAACACAACTCCCTGTGGACTCAGGAGCGCCCCTTAGGGGCCATGGTGGGCCCTAAGTACAGTGACAGGCATCTTTAAAATAAAAGAAGGAAAGAGGTAGAGACACAGGCCTGTGATGACAGGCAGACACTGACGTAGGAGTGTCCACAGGAGTGATGTAGCCACACGCCCAGGGGCTTCTGGAGCAGCCGGAAGCTGGACGAGAGGAGAGAGGACTCCAGAGGGAGGCATTCTGATTTTCTACTTCTGGCCCTGCAACTGAGAAAATTCATTTCCACTGATTTTGGAATGATTGAAACAGTCAAGAACTTCACCTTACTTGGATCCACAATTAATACCCTTGGTACCAGCAGTCAAGAAATCAGGAGATGTATTGCACTGGGAAAGTCTGCAGCTGAAGACCTTTCTAAATTATTAAGGAGTAATTATATCAATTTGAGGACTAAGGTGCTAATTCAGGACATGGTCTTTTCAATCACTTGCTATGCATCGAAGAGCTGGACAATAAATAAGGATGAGAGAAGAAGAATTGATGCCTTTGAGCTGTGGTGTTGGAGGAGAGTACTTTACATCCCATGGACCATCAAGAAAACAAACAGATATGTCTTGAAGAAGTTGTAGCCAGAGTGCTGCTTGGAGACAGGAATGATTAAGTGTCATCTCCCATACTTCAAGCATGTTGCTAGGAGGGGAGATTCCTGGAGAGAGACAGTGCTTAAAAAGGTAGAGGATCGGGGAAGGAGAGGAAGACCCTCGACCAGGTGTATTGATGCAGTGACTGCCGCAGTGGGCTCTGATGTGTCAGGAAGTGTGAGGATGGCGCAGGATAGGACAGGGTTCAGATCTATTGTTCATAGGGTTGCTATGGGTTGTACTTAATGGCACCTAACAACAACATTGGCTTTGGTCATCCAGTTTGATGATTTGCTCCAGCAGCCCCAGGCCGGTTTGTAGCCTGCTTCCATACCCTGAAACAGGGATCCAAGATCCTAGGTTCACCCTTTGAATTTCATTCTAGTATTTGACTCAGTGCAGAGCCAACCCAGATAAGTGCACTGTACCTTACTACCCTGGCTGAGGGCTGCTTTAAAGGGCTCTGGAGCTTTGCAGAGGAACTTGAAAGCCATCAGGTGACTTCAAGGGCAGAAGGCTGGAGCCCACTGAGACAGACTGGGGAGCGGGAGGGTGCCAGTGAAGCTCCACCTTGTCCCTGCCCTGGACCTCTCAGAAGCTAGAAAAGGATTCCTGTCACTTAGTCAAAATGGACTTGACAGCAGTGTTTTGGGTTCTGAAGTGGCACAGATGGTTAAGTGCCTAGCCACTAGCCAGCAGGTTGGAACTTTGAATCTAGTGAGAGGTACCGAGTTGGCCTGGCAATCTGCTTCTGAAAGAACACAGCCTTGAGAACCTTCTGGAACAGTTCTCCCCTGTACATGTGGAGTCTCAGTGAGTCAGAAACAGTGGTTGGCACCAACTTAACAGCAACTATAAACTCTTATCATTTCGTTGTTGTTGTTGTTGTTGTTATATGCCATCAAGTTGGCTGTGACTCATAGTGACCCTATGTACAAGAGCCCTAAACCCTGCTCTATCCTGTACCAGTCTTATTGTCTCTGACACACCTACCCCTATTACTCCAGTCGCTGAATCAGTCCATCTCATCAAGGGTCTTCCTCTCCTGTGCTGTTGTCCCTCCACCCTCCCAATTATGAACATCCCTCTCCAAGGACTGATCCCTCCTTGGAACATGTCCAGAGTATATCAGATGAAGGTTCAGAATCCTTTCCTCCAAAGAGCAGCCTAGCTTCACTCTCTCCAGGATTATTATTTGGTTTTCCA